AAAACTGAGAATGACTATGTAGCATTTTGTAAATATCTATGTCCTGCCTGCACACTGTGTGTAATAAGACAAATGGTCAAGGTCGTTTTCACCCATCTAGTGTGTCATCAAGGATTCCAGTTTCAAGAGGGCCTCTACTAATCAATGCGACGGCAGAGACCACAACTTCCCCTCCCTTTCATTACTTTGACTGTTCTATGAAATTACCCACCACTGCAATTTCCTTTACAGCATATGGCTTAGAGCAGGCGGCGAACACAGAAGATTCGGCTTTGTAATGAGTTACAAAGTAGAGATGAAAATGAGTGAGAGTGTGTATGTATGCTTCTTTGAGCTATGTGTGTGTGCTGTTGCGAGTGTATTTCTAATTTACACGCTGCTACACCTAGGGGAGGCTTTTGTAATCATTGTCATGAAGGCTCATTAATAATTCTGTGTCTTTCTTCTTTTTGTTTTCTTTCCTGGACAGACTCTTCATTCCGCTACACGGGCAGTCCAGACAGCCTCCGTTCACGTGCTCCCATGATCACCCCCGATCTAGAAAGTGGTGTGAAGGTGTGGCACCTAGTGAAGAACCACGAACATGGAGACCAGAAGGAAGGAGACCGCGGTAGCAAGATGGTCTCTGAGATTTATCTGACCAGGCTGCTAGCTACTAAGGTATATCAATATTCTCCCATACATTTCTGTGTCAACACGTCTGAATCTGTAGAGATGTTAGCACATGCTCAGATATCCTAGATATTTCTCGACAGTGCTGCATTCAGGCTGTGCTTTTTTGGGTCAAGTGTTGTCTCTCGTTGTTAATCTCTGCGTATGCTTCTTCTCTCAGGGTACATTACAAAAATTTGTTGACGATCTATTCGAGACGTTGTTCAGCACAGTTCACCGAGGGAGCACTCTTCCCCTTGCCATCAAATACATGTTTGACTTCCTGGATGAGCAGGCAGACAAACATGGCATTCATGACACAGACGTACGTCACACGTGGAAAAGCAACTGGTAAGGGCCTTTTTTAAAGACAAAATGAATATCCCATAGAGTTGGTCTTTATATCATTGCATAACTGCTCTAATGTCAAATAATATATACATTTTAATCTTGTAAAACTCAATTGGCAGCTTCGTCTCTTACATATTCTCTTTGTCTCCATCTTCCAGCCTTCCATTGCGTTTCTGGGTGAACGTGATCAAGAACCCACAGTTTGTGTTTGACATCCATAAGAGCAGCATCACGGACGCCTGTCTGTCTGTTGTAGCTCAGACCTTTATGGATTCTTGCTCCACTTCAGAGCACCGCCTGGGCAAAGACTCCCCATCCAATAAGCTGCTCTACGCTAAAGATATCCCCAATTACAAGAGCTGGGTAGAGAGGTAGGTGCTGATACCCTCGCTTTATGCACAATTCTGATCCCTTCTGTCATATCCTCTTTGTATCCTCTTACAATAAAAACTGGGATCTTCGGGGAAATTGATTCATAATTCTCTTTCTTCTTGCCTGCACTTCTCAACCAAATTCTGTAAAAGCCTTTTGAGAGTGTCTGATACAGGCATGCATTGTTAGTGAAAATGATATTATGGCTCAAAAATTTGACTATATAAAGAATTTAAGCCTCAGTTGAGCTATTACATTGATTCAGTGAATCTGTGAGTGATGCCAAATGTTGCCTCTTGTCTGCGTCCTCAGGTACTACGCTGACATCAACCGGCTGCCAGCCATTAGCGACCAGGACATGAATGCTTATTTGGCAGAACAGGCCAGACTCCACTCCACAGAGTTCAACATGCTCAGTGCTCTCAATGAGATCTACTCTTACGTCAGCAAGTACAGTGAGGAGGTAAGTGATATTTCCATGCACACATTGTACTTGCACATACACACCTAACTTGAGCACAGTTGTTTTTGATGCATTCCACACTGGGCATTGTGCATGTTATTTATCAGCCCAGTTTGCCTGAAGAGTCAGCAATAAACCTTTCTGATGTATACATTTGTGGGAGAATCATGTAAATAGCGGAAGGAGATCCTGAGCAACAAATTAGCTCGCCTTTTTCGTTTAATGACTCCTATTGCATTAATAGTATAAATTCCTACAAATAGGTTTTATTATCATTCATAGTGTAACAGACACTTCTTCCCAGGTGCAGTTGAACTGTGCCCTTAGTGCAAGTTTTGGAATGTTGTTATTTCATTACTATATTTCGATGCAGCATAATTTCTTTTTTGTGCTCGGTGATCTCAGATAAATCCATCCTCTGAACTACATACTGAGCTCCTCCACTTGCACATTTTACCTGGAGGGCAGTCCCAGGCGCTGATTGTGTAATGAGCTGCTGCCTTAGTAAATCAGCTGCTAATTACGGGCAGATTGCAAGCGCAAATTGAACAAAAGGCGTGCCGCAAATTTGCCCCACACTTTAATGTACGTATATCTAGCCCTTGGTGTTCCCAGACTGTTTATAACTGGCAAAGGTTAGTGAGGTCAGTTCAGAGTCTTCAGTAGACTTCCCCAAAGCCCAGAGGTCTAGTGAGACCTGAGCTTAACAAGGCAGTGTGTCTGATCTGTAGAGTAGAAAGTGAATGTCTACAAGCTCTCAGCATGCTGCTCTGTCCTTTCGCCTGTGCTGAGTTAGAGTGGGCTATCTGTTATATAGGGCTCTCATGAGCAGAATCATGGGCTACACTCACACACACACACATACACACACATCCTGTCAGATCACAGGAAGTGTAAAAAAGGAGGGAGGAAGATAGGAAAGGATGAGAGAGAGAAAGAGAGAGAGAGTGCATTTATGGAGACATTCTGCTTCTAATGTCAGCTCCTCCTCTGGGAGGCATTAGTCTGACCTTTATGTTGGACCACAGTATCTCTCTCTCTTTCTCACTCTCTATCTCTTATTTTCTCTCTCCCTCCTTCCTGCACATTCCTTCTCTTTTTACCCATTATCCAGTCAGCTTCCCCTTTGCTCTCCATGAATCTCATACATTCACTTTTGCTGCCTCTGCAGTTGTAGCCGTCTGATGCACACATGCGTAGGACATATGCAAACACATTCGTTTTGCACGCATACACTGCACATGTACCCCATCACTCCTGCAGTATCTGCTGTCTCCCAGAGTGCAGTGCGTAAAACCTCGCCTAGCACCGCTAACGGATGTTCATTCTTACTCAGTCCTTAACAAAGGGCTGTGTGTCAGGCTAACCAGGCCAGAGCTGCAGCCTACTTAAATGGATTTGGGAGATGGCAATGGGAGCTGCACCTGCATACAGTGCTGCAGATTAATAATAGATTGCTATCGGGCTGATGAGGAGGAGGAAACGCTCTGCCTGTAGCTGCCAGCCTTTAAGAGCACTTAAGCAGATGAGTGGAAGATTTTAGGTGGGCAGACAGATAATGTGTGCAGCAACAGGACAGGCAGCAAACAAAGGTTTGCCAGGCTGTGCAAAAGAAGAGAACAAGAATGTTGCTGACATGTTTTTTACCGACAACAAGCAGTCAGTCAGCTTTTAATGCATAGAAGGTGGTAGAGCTACCTAACTGGAACCAAACACCTAAAAACTAAAAGTGTGGTTCTGATTGACCGAAGGACATAAGTGTACTTTTATTTTACAGCAGTAGGTAATTATTAATTAAGGTTCACAAAATGCTTGTACAAAGCAGATATTCTGTGCTTATTTATTACTGATATATTTTCATGAATTTGCTGACATCTAAGTGACCCAGAGTATGAATAAATGACCAAAGACAATGAGTGGCAAAATACTTTTCCTTTAGTAATCTAAAATGTCAGTCAACATGGTTAAATGGTGCATTATGGGTCACACTTTTCACCCATATGCATTTATTATTTATCTCTTACCTCCGAAGTTTTTTAAATTACACATTGCATAAGAGGGGTCAATTAATTATTTTGTTTGAATCATCAATTATTGACGCTGCATTCCAGTCTAGTGCAGTTTGATGTGAAATGGATCTACAGTAGCAAACAGATACCCGGTAGCAAACCAAAGACCATATGTTGAAACAAAGGCAGCAGTGTTTGGATACAGAGATCCATATCAAAGAAAAAAAGGCCATATTGTAGATTTTTTCCTGTTTTTTTTTTCCTATTTTATATTCATATTAAAGGTCTTTGCCATGTGTGTTGGTGTCACTCTGACATAGATTCATCCTGACAAGGCAGACACTAGATGAGAGAACGAAGGGGAGAGCCTGTCTGAATCCCTTTTGAACCCAACTTGACAAATGCCAAATTTACAAGAAATGGGCTCGGAAGATAAAACGGGAAAGGCTAATATACAAATATTTCTTGATGTTGTCAAAGACAAAGGCAGTGATGTAATTCTTTTCTTTTTCTTTCATGTGATGTCCATATAGAAACCTAAAAGAACAGGCTCTGCTCCATAAAGAAAATATTATTTTCTATTTTCTATTAAATGGTATCAGATCTAAATCTAGAATGGAAGCAGCCACACCATGTGTTGTGTATTTTATGGCTGGTATTTTTAACACAGTTTTCTGTTCTGTACAGATCACGGCAGCCCTGGAGCAGGATGAACAGGCAAGGAAGCAGAGGTTGGCCTACAAGGTGGAGCAACTCATCTCTGCCATGTCCCTCGAGAGCTGAGAGTGACCCCCTACTGAAAGAGAGAGAGAACAAGAGAGACAGGACCACAATCTCTACAGGACCTCCCAAAAGGGTCCCGCATTACTTACCTCTCATCGTGGGAGCTAGAACCATGAACCAGACCTGGGACCTCTCTGTATCCACAACCGGACAGATATACAACTGCTTTAGTTTGTAATTCTCCCACCTCCTTCCATGATGGCACCAGCTAAGGGCCCAAAGACTAAGATAGAGGCCCTGTAGCTGGGGCTGATAATGGCATAAGGAAGGAACACCAGAAGAGAAGGCAACAACATGGCTTGTATTTATTATTTTTTTGTTTCTTTCTTTTTCTCAAAGGATATTTTCTCTCAGTTTGACAGGAAATTGTATGTTGTGTGTGCGTGTGTGTGGGTGTGCATGAGTGTGTGTTTGTGTTGTGCTGATGAAGACTCCTGCAGGACTGTGAGAGCAAATGGAGAAACAGATTTATTACTCTACTCAGTCAGAAATTCACATCTGAGTGTGAGATGGAGATTAAAAAAAAAAAGAGCAGAAGAGCAGATCTCATGTTGGACAGCTGAGTTTGCATTAAGATTTTCTTCTTCTAAGATTTTATTTTTGTACTTGTACATTTGAATATTATCAGTTGCAGTTGAAATATCCACCCAGGATCCCACAAGTGTTGCTGTATAAAGACATAAAAAGTCAAACACATCAGGGTACTGTGATAGTAAAACAGGCCCATAGTCCATGTCTTCTCTCACTCATTCCCTCCTCGGACTGATGCTTCTCATGACACGGACACAACCTCTGCTCTTTATCCAATCAGCACTGTACAGGAAAACATTAAACTTGTGCTCATCATCTAAGAGTCAATGGAACTCCACTCGTGGTGGTCACAGTTCAGCCAGCATGCTTGCACCTAAACTGAAGATGGCAGCGATGAAGTCTATAGTGTATTTAGGAGATGACCTTAAATCAGCATCACTCTGGTGTCCAACGCTTTTCTCAGCAGTTAGGTCATCTGTGTATGTACCGGTTGATACTTGCCAATCAGTGTATGTGAATGTACAAATGTTTTTTATTTGTTTTTGTATGTCTATTTGACTTTTGCAAACAGAAAGGTGCTCAGTTGAACTGAGCCCCATAGATATTTGCAGTAGCTCGTCAAGTGAACAACTCCATTTGTCCGTCCTGGCCCAAGCCCATCCAACTGCTTCCCAAACATTATTTACCCAAAATCGCTTTTCTGCTAGAGGAGAGTGTGTATTGTCTGCATTGTGGCTGTCACTGCTGTGAATTCCGCTGCTCATACAGCACAGTATGTACAGCTAGCAGTTAGTAGAGACCAGGCGAGAGCAGTTGGTTTCTGTAGGCTAAAGAAACTCTGTCTCTTTGGGAACTTGATCAACTTTATGTGTACTTTGCATGCATGCTATCACACATCAGAAGTGTTCCAAGGGTCCATCTTTGATTTTATCAAGTGCCAATGAGTCATGCCAGTTCTAGCTGGCCAGTTGAGATGTTAGCTGATGGGAGATCTTACCTGACCACCACTCATGTCCTCACACAGACAATAAGAAGCCTAGCTGCGTGGGTCTAGTTTGACCAAGTGCCAAAAGATCCTGTTGTTTCAAATTGTTCACGTGTCAAAAATCGGTTTATGCTTTAAAGAGGGAGCAAAGCTCTCATATTGGAGTGTAGAACCGGTTAAAGTTGAATCTTACATAACTGGAATGGTGAGTTTGAGACTCATGAAAGGTACGAAACATAAGCAGGAGAAAAGAGATCTGGGAATGAGGAGCAGAACATGAAAAACACATAGACAGATAGTAAAAAACGAGTATGTTTCATGTCATGTGGATGCATCTCCTGACTTAAACCAAAACGTCACAAGCTAAAAGGCTGATGTAACCTTCCAACCTTCTAGCTGGATGACAACAAACTGTAGATTCCGTCCTCTGGATAGGTGATTTCATTTTCTTCCGAGATACATGTTTGCTTGTTGTTTACATCAAGTACTTGAAAATAGGTAGTATTAAAGGTTTGCACAGTATACTGCAAGTGTGTGCGTTGAGAGCATGACAAACACCAGTAGTGGGTGAAAGGTGCTTCTTTTCTCTGTGGCCTTAGATACCCACCTGCTTAGTGTTCCTGATCTTATTAGTCCTCGACTCGGGCACAGTCCTTTCCTTGCTTCGGAGCCCAATGGTTTTTCAGCGATACCTGGCCATGGCACTCTGCTGAGAACTGTCTTAGCGAGATAACGTAAAAGGAAAGGTGAAGAGGGTACGGCCTGGCTCAGGCAGACATTGCCTCGCTCAGCACTCGGCTCGCCTGAGCTGTTTGAAGAGAAGTGTCGAGAAATGAGGAGAGAGGGAGAGGTAGAAAGAGAGAGAACCCCTTTAGCTCTAGTTTCCTGCTCCAGCTTTGAAGCTGCTCTTTGATCTGAGTCAGTTGTGTGCACAGTGTGATCAGGAGATGGAAAGAAAGAAAAAAAAAACATCAAACTAACAGGCAAGGAGAAATGTAGGATGAGGTGATGATTGACATGCTATTACCGTGTTTGGCCAGTGGGGGCAGGAGTGGGGAAAAGTAGTTGTAATTTGTTTCCTCATTTAAAAAAGCACCTTCTCACTCCCTCACCCCCTAATAAACATCTATAGGTACAAAATGGCGCACGCATACAGTACACATACACAAAACATAAAGCTTCTTCCTTTTGATTAAGGTGTCTTCCCAATTTCAGCAAATAGAATTGTATCCTCCTCATACCTCACATTGCTTGTATGGAGTAATGCTTTTTATCATTTTAACGGGACCTAAATGCCTTTTCCTTTTTTGCAAGGGATAAAATGTATGTCTATTAGAGTCTTTCCAACTCTTAGATGAGCTCCCCTGTATTCAGAATTGTGACGAACATAATTAGAGGCACACAAATTGGATGAGAGTGGCTTTGATTTTTCTCTCAGAGATCATTTATATCAGGATGTTTCCTTTTGTCTTGTGTGAGATTTTTTGCATGCATTTTAATTCATGCTTTAGTTCTGCCTGGTATTCCATATCGATCCGCACCATCATTTGTCTAACTGCAATTCTTCCCGGAAAGCCCATTTGTACACGTCTTAAATCACAGCTGAATGCACCTTTTTTTGTGAAAGAGATTTTTTTTGTTACTAGATATAGCTTGTTTCCATGCTGTACACTTATTTCTGGGAGTATTTTAATTCAGTTTGAACTGAGAAAAGAAAAGTTTGTTTACTTTTTCTGCAGCGCATAATCCCATTTGACTGCCAGTTGTGTGAGATATGGATAGATGCTTACAAACACAACCTCATTTCAGCTCAAGCTGATTGCTAATTGAAGATGCTTTGTGCACTTTTTCGCTCTCAGTGTAAGGTGTTGCCGAAGAGATGGTGTTGTGATTTTGACTGGCATGTGTCATTCCTAGAAAACAAAGCTTTTAATCAGCATCTTTTGTTTGCTTTATGGCATCAGACAGAGGAATTGAAATCCAGATCTGTGTATTACTCTCAAGTCAAAATATCACCAAGTATAAAATGAGTATCCTTCCATTTTAAACACATTGTAAACAAACCCTTTGTAGACACTGGAGTTCTGTAAAATAGTAATTACTGGCAATGATGACGATGATGATGACGATGATGATGATGATAATAATAATGGCTGTCTGTTCTTCTTGTTTTATAAAAGTGTTGTGAAAATTGTAAGAAACTTAAAGTATTTAAAAAAGGTTGTTCTCTTGTTTTTTATTTGCTTTGGTTTTGTTATGATAATATATTATTGTGTACCTATTGTAAATATGAAGCACACCTATTTTGCAAGCCAAGGATTCACTTTGTACTGTTGTTATATATAAATAAACTTTGCTGGTTAAAAATTGCATAGAGCCAAAATCTGTATTCATGTCTTTTTGTTGAATGACCTCCCAGTTCAGGCAAATAGAAAAGAGGTAATTAAATTCCCCCGTGACCTACAATTCCCATAATTCTTTGAGGTAAACAGGAAGTATAATGTCAAAGATTCAGTAAGTTACACATGATGGGTCTGTTTTTTTTAGTCTATATTTACATTTTGACAAATTGATAAATTAAAAGTATGCCGAATTCATTATTAGCAGTTCTTGTTTGCAATGTACCCATGGATGTGCAGAAAACTATCACCGGATTACTTCAGTACCGAAGAAAACTAAAAAATGCAGTGATTCTCAGGCGAGACCTGGAGTTATAAGGAGCGTCTTTTTTAATGGTTTTTAAGCGGGGTATATGGACGTTTATACGCGACAGACATCGGAAATAATGCTATCCTCGGAAAATGTAAGTCAAACTGAATCTAAAAAAGTGTGTATTATGTCTGTGTGTTTAGCTTTGACTGATTTATGACTTCAAGAAGGAGTCCGGTTTTGTCGCTGACTGTGTTGATGCGGGAAACCACAATAACTTAGCCGTTTTTTCAGATCACCAGCATACACCTGTTCTACACAGGCACATTCCCAAACTCCTTCAGGTAGACACAGGCCATCTCTCTCCCATCCCCTGTAGCTCTGGGTTCATCCTGAGATCCTGCATTTGCCACTCACATCCTGGCTAGCGCCTAACACAATAACCCAAGGCTGTAACATGTTAGATTGTGGTCGTTTGTCTTCATGCAAGTCTGTTAGCTGGGACTGGGCTCAGCTTCTCTGCGCCACCACAGGGGCTGCAATCACATTAGGTTGCTAATGGAGGTGTGGGTCAGTGTGTTTAGCTGGAATGAAATGGCCCTGAAGTCAGTGATTCCACAGAGGACGAATGTGGATGACCACTGAGGCACAAGCTCATGCTTTTTTTTATATATAACTGTGCATCCATTTGAATGCATCCATCTATTATTAGAGTTATCTAGAGTAAACAGTTGGGGAAGAAAGTGGGCAGAGGAAAAAGCAGGAAGAAGGTTCAGTTGCCCATGTAAGCATTAAGTAAAGTCTCTGAGCAAAACACTGCATCTCTTACAATTCTGTAATAGTCATTACATTGTCATTGTGATTGTTGGATGTATTCATCATCCACACATTTTGCACCATATGAATACCTAACAGTGTCATAGCTGTACAGACAGACGGAGGAGTGGCCATTCCTCCTTTCTACATGACACTGACCATTGAAGAGGTGTAGTCTGACAGAGTTTACTGAGGTATAGTTGTGGTGTAAACGGTGCTTCTCAACTTTCTGGTGCAGCCAATATCGAGCAATATGTATTCTATATCTTGAGTCCCTTGGCCACCCCTGCCTCTGTATTTCCTCTAGGGAAGGTCTAATCCCCGCTGCTTCTAATCCTGTGCTGCTGAGACCAATTCAAATCCACGCGGGACTTAACACTCTGTAATGCCTTTACAAGTAGTTGCATAAAGCTGACATCCCATTCGTTCTGGGTAGGATTCTCAGCCTGGATTACAAGGCAAATTCTGAAATAATTAATGTGAGTTGGCAAAAGAGGATGCCAGGGGTGATTTCAGCCCCATTTCGAAGAATGGTAGACTATTAATTTCACATTGAAACAATCCCTGACACCTTGTTGGACCTCAATACTTCTTATTCTGATTCTGATGGTTGTTGAATGTCTTTTGTTTGAGATCATCATTAGGCAAAGTGAGGCAAACTCCTGTATTGGTGATTTGTAGCTCACGCCTGTCACTTTGTGGCCATGTGTTCGATTATGACGAAAAGTTGACCACCTATTGTAGAGTTGTACTTCTGTAGCCAAAAGCACTCACATTGGTTGTATTCATGGGCAACAACTCCAAGCATCCTTGAACAAACACCCCAAGCTGCTTCTGATAAGTGCATGGAACAATATGGCATTATAAGGTACTTCACACACCACAATTATACCTGCACTTTATTTATCATTTAGGACTTTGCATGCAAGCCATATGTCGTATCTCTTTCTATTCTGCTTGGAATCAACTACAACTGTGTTTCAGTCCAGGATGTTGCCATGTTGTGATCACAACAACTAATTCAAATTCAAGAAATGCCCATTAATTGTCCACAACCTTGCAATTTTGTCCAATCACTGCAACCTTTCTGCAAATCTGACCAATCATTGTAGTTTCCTGCAAGTTGCAATCATAACAGTCCCGAAACGCTGAGCCATATGTCACCAAACAATTAGCCTAACTGTTGTTTAATTTTCAACCATAATTTCATTGTAAAAGATGCTGAAAAACATTGCAACATGCATCACAATTTTGTTGAAAAGCTGCCATGAAATCGGGCATTTTGGGCTGCAACAATCCCCCCAAAAAAGCCAGTGAAATCCCAGAGGGGCTGGTATTTAAAAGGATAAGTGTTGTGGGGTTGAATATTTGGGTTATTGTCAACTAGTTCCAACCAAAACCAACAGTGCATCAGTCTGTTTCTGTTTACTTTCTCTTTCTCAATTTCAACTTCAAATAATAATTATTATTTTAATATAAATTAAAGCTGATTAACACACCTGCTTATGGCCAAATCCAAGCTAGATTTATTATGGCATCTGGGATGATTATATTTTGATTAATTTGTATATCTCCTTGTGAGAATTGGCAACTGGAGGAATGGCACAATTATTGTGATAATCATCAAAATATCCTCTCTCTTAAAATACCACTAAAACATACTGGAATCACATTATCTTACATTTTGTTAGAAATCAAATATTTTTTGTGGTGGATACAATGGACAAATCAAGGCTTCCCCTTGTGGCAATTCAGCATAAATTGGGGAATCAGTATAGGACTGTACGTTAGCAAGCTAAAAAGCTTTTTCAAGTGACTTATGTCTGGATATTACCGATTATCCCAATAATGCAAATTCACCATAATAAATATAATATAATACTGAAATGATCCTTGGCTTTTATTTGCTTCAATCACTAAACTCAACCTTGGAACAGGAATCTACTATTCTCTATTGACAAAGCTTTAAACATTTATATTTGTGTAGGCGATCTAAGCTTACAACTGTTTTATAAATCCAAAGAATTTGAATAAAATCAAGACCACTTGAGACCTGCGTCAAACGTGTAGCCACACCAGGCTAGCAAAGGGGACCTGCATCTAATTGGAAACCTGCTTTTATGGTATAACAGTTCCTTATCACGATATGCGATAATATTGTGTAATCCGTTACTCCCAAAGCCTGTGAACAGAACACAAGAAAGAGAAGCGGGTGGTGGTGGAAGTTGTATGGAGGAAAATTGCGTGAATGTGAATCCAGGTGTCTAAGCTCTCAGCACAGGCTCTATTTATAGTCTGGCTTCCCGCTGTTGGAGCTGTCATTCTTAGTGTGCTCTGCAGCCTGTCTCGCCTGCGGCCCGCTAGCCTCTCTCTCATTAGAACTCCACAGCACAACACACGCCGACCACGTCAGTGGGTGCTCTGCATAATTCACAGGTCAGAGACTCATTCAGCAGCATGTGTTAGCCTCAAACACACATACAAACACACACTGGCAGAAGTCA